CAGACACAAAGTAAAAATATTAAGCTGTTCACTTCCACAGTGTATTAGTCAGGATAGGATGGGCTATACTGCAGTCACCAAGAAACCTGAAACTTTAGTGTCGGATCAGAAAAGCACATTTCTTATGTCAAGTCCACTACAGGTCCAGCGGCCCCCGAGGCAGCTAGCTTCTGGTTGACCCATGCTGTTTTCATCCTCAGCCTCACCATCTCGACCGGAGGCCTGCAGTAGCAGGGGAGAGAACATGTGGAAAATCTACCTGCTTTCTTGTGCTTCCATCCCAGAGTGACCCACACTACTTGCATTTTCAACCCATTGGCCAGAAATAGCCCCAAGGCCCTTGTTTAATTACAAGGGGGTCTGGGATATGAGGAGGAGCACAAGGACATTTGCTGGGCATTAAGAGTCTACTGCAGGCTGAAAGTGTGAGTGCACAGCTGGCTCTGACACTCATTCACCGTGCAACGTATGTAAGCCCTCTGTGACTCGATTTCTTAAATGTAAAGATGGATACAGGTAGAGCAGTATATTTAAAAAGTATTGTAGGCCAGCGCTGCGGCTCAATAGGCTAATCCTCCACCTGCGGTGCCAGCACACTGAGTTCTAGTCCCGGTCAGGGCGCCGGATTCTGTCCCAGTTGCCCCTCTTCCAGTCCAGCTCTCTGCTGTGGCCCAGGAGGGCAGTGGAGGATGGCCCAAGTGCTTGGGCCCTGCACCCGCATGGGAGACCAGGAGAAGCACCTGGCTCCTGCCTTCGGATCAGCGCGGTGCGCCGGCCACAGCGCGCCAGCCACGGCGGCCATTGGAGGGTGAACCAACAGTAAAGGAAGACCTTTCTCCCTGTCTCTCTCTCTCACTGTCCACTCTGCCTGTCAAAAAAAAAAATAAAAACTAAAAAGTATTCTTTGCTTGAAAAGCAGAGGAGGAGGAGAGAGAGAGAGAGAGAGAGAGAGAATCTTCCATCTGCTGGTTCACTCCACAAATGCTTACAACTTGGTCTGCCAGGCTACAGCCAGCAGCCAGGAACTCCACTTGGGTTCTCCATGTGGGTGGAGTAAACCCAAATACTTGGGCCATCATCTGCTGCCTCCCAGGTTCATTAGCAGGAAGCTGGTTTAAAAGCAGAGGTGGGACTTGATCCCAGTCATTCTGATAATGGGATGTGGGCATCAAAAGCACAGCTAAACCCACTGCACCACAAAGCCAGCACCTCAAATGGCATTTAACTTACCAGATTTCTGTATGGATTGTAAAAGAATATTCCAGTACAGCAGTTGGACCAGTTCTGTCCCAGAGAAAGTTCTCAGTGACTGGTAGTGTCCAACATGCTGTGTCCACCAGCATTGATCAATCTCTAAACTTAAAGTTTATCTGTCAGAATAGAAGGAGCACATTGCATTTCAATAACATCAGAGTCTGAGTATCCACAATATGTCTGTGACACACACAGGATGAGAACAATTTCCATTTTTCTTGTTTTGGAAACAGTTCAGAGACTGGCCGATTAGGTCAACGCCACGGTGCTGGCAGAATCCATTTCTCATGACTCTGGACAAGATAGAAGCCAAAGCGGCAATGGCAACTTGATCTGGGCCACCAGGTCAGGACAAAAAGAGTCCGAATTCAGGCCACGTGGCTGCAAATAATAGAAAGAAAAAGAAAACAGTGCATCTTGGGAGAGATTACCAGTGGGCTTTCATGGGAGAAGAGCTTCAACCATGCCTACTGAAACAAAAGGACTGAAAATTCAGGCAGATGCTTGGGTCAGGAGTGCACATCAGGTTGAGACTGTAGAGTGACAGAGTGCAATAGTGCATTGTCCTTGTGGCGACCAAGAGCTGCAATGGGAGTCTGACATGGAAACAAACAAAAAGTAAAACAGATCAAGCCACAGAAGACTGAGCCTTCTATCAGTGTTAAATCCTTCTGGCAATTGTGTAAGATTGAATCATGAAATTGCCACCTTTGTAGGCCAAGAACTTTTGAATACAGGCAATTTAAAATAGCTCAGTCTAGTGTTTGGAATAGAAATGTTTCTTGCCCTATGATTACTTCTATTTGGGTTAACATAGTCCTACATGAATAGAGCTACAGACCACTGATGCAACAAAAATACAAATCTTGAATTTGCCATGTGCTAGGTCCTTGGGAGAGACCCATGAAAAAAAAAATCCTGACTTACTTAGTCAGTGTTGGCATAATGGACCCTCTTTACTGAGTATGAGTCTCAGAGCCAGAATTTCAGTGTCAAATCAACCTGCCTTGAGTTCCTGGTTCCACCACTTCCTAGCTGTGTGACCATGAGGTCACACGTGTTTTATGTATAACCTCTCCCAGGTTCATAGTGCAGAGGAATAAATACTCTACGGCTTGTAAGTATTGCACTTATTACCACTTGCCGGAAAAAAAGAACTTCCTTTCAAACATTTTATCCTTGTATTTACAGAAAGAGAGGGTGAATAATTGTGTGGCAGGTAAGGTTCTGCCTAGGATGCCCACATTCCATCCCAGACATCCTGGGTTGGGTCCTGGCTCTGCTTCTGATCCAGTTTCCTATAACTGCTCACCCTGGAAGGCAGCAGCTAATGATACAAGTACTTGGATCCTGCCATCCATGTGGGAGACCCTGATGGATTCTTGGGCTCCTGGCTTCAGCCTGGCCCAGTCTCAGCTGTTGCAGCCATTTCAGGAATGAAACACTCCCCACCCCTTCCATGTTTGTGTGTGTGTGTTTAAAATACAATAAAAATAAATAAAAATTTTAGAAAAAAATGTACATATATACTAATTCAAGTGCTGGAATGTAAACACACAGAATAAAACAAGTCGATGGGAACAGGAGTGTAAACTTTTTTTTTTTTGACAGGCAGAGTTAGTGAGAGAGAGAGACAGAGAGAAAGGTCTTCCTTCCGTTGGTTCACCCCTCAAATGGCTGCTACTCCGAAGCCAGGAGCCAGGTGCTTCCTCTTGGTTTCTCATGCGGGTGCAGGGCACAAGCACTTGGGCCATCCTCCACTGCCTTCCCAGGCCACAGAAGAGAGCTGGCCTGGAAGAGGAGCAACCGGGACAGAATCCAGCGCCCTGACCGGGACTAGAACCCGGAGTGCCGGTGCCACAGGCGGAGGATTAGCCTAGTGAGCTGCGGCGCCAGCCAGGAGTGTAAACTTGACATGGAAGCATTCATGGGTGTTGTTGAGTGAACCTTTACTGAAAGAGTTAGTCTGGAAAGACCAATGAGGAAGTGAGTCATCAATTTTTTTTAAAGATTTACTTACTTATTTAAAGGCGAAATAATAGAGAGAGTGTGTGTGTGGGAGAGAGAGAGAGAGAGAGAGAGAGAGAAAGAAAGAAAGAAAGAAAGAAAGAAAGAAAGAAAGAAAGAAAGAAAGAAAGAAAGAAAGAAAGAAAGAAAGAAAGAAAGAAAGAATCTTCCATCTATTGATTCAGTCCCCAAATAGTCACAAGAGCATGCTAGGGCAGGCCAAAGCCAGGGATCAAGAACTTCATCCAAGAATAGAGCCAAGACTCAAAGGTGCACTCAGGTATGGAATGCCTGATGTTGAAAGTGGCAGCTTAACCCACCGCGCCATGATGCAGACCCCATTGGACAAGTTCTGAAAGTGGAGTTTGGAGAGAGAAGGCACTTGGTTCAGCAGGAAGAGGAGGGAAAGTCATTCCAGGGAGAACAACTTGAGTGAGATGATCCAAAGCCTGGTGGAAAGTGTAGCCCAGAGGGTAGATCCGCTGACACAGAGAAGTTCTATTATCGCCTTTATTCCTAGGAACACTGGGGAAACAGAACCTGCCACCCACATGGTAGAGCTGGATTGGGCACCTGACTCCTGGCTTCACCTAGGTCCAGCCCTAGCAGCTGCAGGCATCTGAGAGGTGAACCGGTGGATGGAAGGGCTCTCCCCCTACCCCTCCCTGTCTTTCTGCCAGTGAAATGAATAAATACAAATTTAAATACATAAAAATGAAATAGTTAGTGAGCATGGACTAGATGGGCTTAGAAAGGAAAAAAATCATGACATTAAAGTGAAGAACCCTGGCAAACCCTTCTGTAGCCAAGCGGTGAAGGTCAGCATCACCATGAATCCCACGTACCCCTGACCACGTGGTGATAAGAAGGTGCTTTGCATTCATGCAAATCTTCCTGCAAACCGCAGCTCCTGCCATTCTTGAGAAAAACAGTAGCATGTTCCAGTGGAGCCACATTCTACCAACCAGCTCAGCACTGTCAAGGTTTTGCAAGGAGAGAGGATGACTAACCATAATGTAATATCTTGGATCGCAATTTCAAACAGAAAAAGGACCTGCATGGACTAAATGGTGAAACCCAAATCAAGTCCGAAGTTTAATCAGTAGTAGATCGCTGTTGGCTTCCTAGTTTTGACAAATACATCACAGTCATGTAAGATGACAAATGTTAGGGGAATCTAAAGCTTGGTGAGGACAACAGGGGAATTCACTGTATTGTCTTTACAACTTTTATGTAAATCTAAAATTATTCCAAAATAAAATATCATTAGAAAAATAATCTTATCTCTAATAAGAGTTTTCTGGAAATAAACCCTCCTAAAATATTCAATATTCAAAATAAAGTTCTATTTGTAGTAACTTCTTTTAAAAGTTACAGAGGGGCTGGCATGGTGACACAGTGGGTTAGGGTGCTACTGGGGATCCTGGCATCCCATATCAGTGTGCCCGTTCCAGTCCTGGCTGCTCTGCTTCTGATCCAATTCCCTGCTAATGTGCCTGGGAGGCAGCGGATGCTGGTCCAAGTGCTTGGGCCCCTGCACACATGTAGGAGGGCTGGATGGAGTTCTTGCCTCTGGGTTTTGGCTCGGCCCAGCCTCAGCTATTGCAGCCAACTGGGCAGTGAGTCAGCAGATGGAGAATTTCTGTGTGTGTGTGTGTCTCCCTCTCTCTTTCTCTCTCATTATGCCTTTCATATAAATAAATAAATAAATGAATCTTTAAAAAAATTTTTTAACACAGGCTTAGAGGTACCGTTTTGGCAGTCTGCTTGCTGTAACAATGTGTATCTGAGTGACGAAGCTGCCGACCACCGTGACTGTCTTGTCAGCACCCGTGAGCAGCTGGACAGGTGCGTGGGTAACCAGAAATGTGAGTGAGGGGCCTTATGCGGTGAAAAGAACGTAAAGGGTCATTTCCAAATTCACAGATAATTCTAATAATGAAGATAGCTGTGTAGAGAAGTATTATTAAGCAAAGTTTTCTTGCAATGTGGTTTCCTTACCTTGCAGTTCAGCCACTTGAATTGTATGGTTTGACTGATTGTAATACAGTCACCATGTGGGGCTGGCGCTGTGGTGCACTAGGTTAATCCTCCGCCTGCAGCGCCGGCATTCCATATGGGTGCCGGGTTCTAGTCCCAGCTGCTCCTCTTCCAGTCCAGCTCTCTGCTGTGGTCTGGGAAAGCAGTGGAGGATGGCCCAAGTGCTTGGGCCCCTGCACCAGCATGCGAGGCCAGGAGGAGGCTCCTGGCTCCTGGCTTCTGATCAGCGCAGCGTCGCCCATTGTGGCCATTTGGAGAGTGAACCAGTGGATGGAAGACACCTCTCTCTCTCTCTCTCTCTCTCTGTAACTCTGTCAAATAAATAAATTTAAAAATCTTTTAAAAATACAGTCATGTAACTTAGCAGACAATTTTAGAACACTTACATCACCTCAGTAAGAAACCCGAAATCCTTTAGCGATCACCTCTATCCTCACATCCCCTGTCCCAGCCCTAAACAATTCTCAGTGGACCTTCTCTCTCTACAGTTTGGCCTGCTCTGAGCATTCCATATCAGTGCAACCATCTCCTCCGGGGGTTTCGTGACTGGCTGCAGGTAACACTTTGGTAGTCTTCAGGTGGACTCTGAAGAGTAGATAGTGCAGTACCTTAGAAAAAAATACACCTTGAGGGAGACAGCTGTCCCAGCAGTTAAGATGCCAACTGAGATGTCCGTGTCCCATATCAGTGTGCCTAGGTTCAAGTCCCAGCTCCGTTTCTGATTCCAGCTTCCTGCTACTGCACACCCTGGGATCAGTGGGTGATAACTCAGGAACTTGTGTCCCTGCCACACGTAGGGGAGACCTGGACTGAGTTGCAACTCTGGGATTTGGGCTGATCCAGCCCCAGCTGTTGTGGGCTACTACCCCAAATGGCTACAACAGCCAAGGCTGTGCCAGGCTGAAGGCAGGAGCCAGGAACTCCATCCTGATCTCTCACATGGTAGACAGGGGCTGAAGTACTTGGGCCATCATCTACTCCCTGCCCAGGCACATTAGAAGGAAGATGAATTGGAAGTAGAACAACTGGGACTTCAACCAGCCTGGCACTCTGATGGGGTTGTCGGTATGTAAGTGTGCCTTGATCCAGTATGCTGCAACACTGGCCTCCCCTCCCCCACCCTGGCCCCACAAAATGCCCTTTTATCAATGCAAATATTACAGCATTCACTTTCCGATGTAATCTCAATCCCCTGCTCCCAAGGCGTCCTGCATCCCATTCCCATGCAAACACTCCACTCCATGTTCAATACACACCTTGTTTTGCATGCAGTAAAGGTCAAAAACAGCAAAGTAATAGCAGCACAGAGCAGAGATTCCAATGCTAGTGCGGGCACTTAGCAGCTGTGCCTTCCAGGCCAACTTACTCAACTCCTCCGGTCCTTAACTTCTTCATCTGTAACATGAGGAAAACAATGGTTTCTGCCTCAAAGGCTCTTATAAGGACGAAATGAATGAACACGTGCAAACCCTTGAAAAAGTTCATAGGACGAAGTATTCTATGTGCTTGATTTATTTACTATCGTGATCAGCAAAGTGAGCTCCATGATACAAACAGTGCCACAGAATGTGTAGACAGTTCTCATGGCTCCTTCATCTTCCATGATCAGAGGTCATTTCAATCAGATGTGTCTTTCAAAATTGCCCTATCTGTGGGCCTGTGTTGTAGCCCAGCAGGTCCAGCCACCACTGTGACACTGGCATCCCAAATCCGAGAGCCACTTCAAGTCCCAGCTGCCTGCTTCCCATCCAGCTCCCTCTTGTGTGCCTGGGAAGGCAGTGGAAGATGGCCCAGGCATTTGGGCCCCAGTTACCCATGTGGGAGACTAGGATGGAGTTCCTGGTTCCTGGCTTCAGGCTGGTACAGCCCCAGCTATTGCAGCCATTTGAAGAATGAACCAGAAGATGGAAGATGGATCTTTCTCTCTCTCTCTCTCTCTCTCTCTCTCTCTCTCTCTCTCTGCCTTTCAAATAAATAAGAATAAATTAAAAAAAAAAACAGCATACCCTGGCGCTGGCATTGTGGTACAGCAGGTTAAGCCACTGCCTGCGATTCCAGCATCCCATATTGGCATGTCCTGACTGCTCCACTTCCCATCCAGCTCCCTGATAATAGCTTGGGAAAAGCAGCAGAAGTCAGCCTGAATGCTTAGGCCCCTGCCACCCACATGGGAGACCCAGATGAAGCTCTGGCTTTGGCCTGGCCCAGTCCTGGCCATTATGGCCATCAGCATATAGAAGATATCTCTGTCTTTCTCTGTATCTCTGACTTTCAAACAAATAAAAAAAAGTCTTGTTTATTCCTTATATCCTTTGAAGGAGGAGGTATGGCCTGCAAACACCTGTCCTTTTCCTTTTAACAAATGTTTACTGAGGGTACATGATATGGCAGGCACGCTCGCGTTCAGTGCATAAGGCTGAAATGATCCTCTTCATCACGGAGGGAATGCAGTAGAAGAATCGCACCACTGGCAGGGGAACAAGTTGAGCAAACAAGGCAGCCTCTGCCAAGTGCTTTCAGAGACTTTGTCAGAGCAGTGTCGGAGCAGAGGGAGATAACGGGGGTACAGAGAAGAGAGAGAGGATTTTTACATTTCTCTCAACGTTCAGAATGTGTGCCCATTCCAGCATTGTCTGTTACCCAGAGGGATCGTGGTAAGGATGCAAATGCTTCCAATTACTTTTGAACTTTGGGCACTGTTTGCTCATACATAGAATGCACTCCAGATTGGTCTATGAGAACTCTGGGCTTTATATGGGCTATAAACGGTTATCAAGAGGAATGTGATGCCAGGGAGACTTAGCGAGCTTTGGAGGCAGGTAGGAAGGGGGGGGGGCTCAGATTTGGGGATGAAGACAGGAGCAGGTGACTTAGAGGATGAGGAGGACGCCATGGGAAGAGGAGAGGATCTAGGAGAGGGGAAACGAGCTTAGGCAGGCACGTCCCAGTGTCTCCAAGTAGGAGGGCGTGGCTAGAAGACAGGGGCAGGATGGAGCCACCCAGGTCAGATTCCATGGCCCTAGGAGGCACAATAAGGGGTCTAAATCCAGTCTGGGGCCCATGCTGCAGCATAATGACAGTGGTTCAAGTCCCGGCTGCTGCACTTCCAATCCAGCTCCCTGCTAATGCACCTGAGAAAGCAGCAGAAGATGGCCCAAGTACTTGGGCTCTTGTACCCATGTAGGAGAATCAGAAGAAGCTCCTGGCTCCTGACTTCAGCTTGGCTCAGCCCCAGCTGTTGTGGCCATTTGGGAGTGAACCAGTGGATGGAAGAACTCTCTCTCTCTCTCTCTCTCTGTGTGTGTGTGTGTGTGCGTGTGTGCGTGTGTGTGTGTGTGTCTTTCCCTCTCTCTCTGTAACTCTGCCTTTCAAATACATAAATCTTTAGACTCCATCCTACTCACGCCAGGGAGCCGTGAATGCCTGTAAACAAAGAATAGGGATGAGTCACACGGCACTAGTCACTTGCTGGCCTGCCAAGAATTCTAACTCTTGAGAGTGGAGTTCTCTTTACAAGGGAAAGTTGGAGACCTTAAAAAAGTTAGCAAGCAAGCAGAAGAGGGGGAAGGCACCCAGAGCCTCACAGCCAGCAGAGGTATCTCAGACGTCCTTGCCTGCTGCCAGGCCTCCAGAGCCAGCATGTGTTGGAACATCACTTGACAAAACTTGCAAATGAAAAATCTCATTTTCCTTTTATTTCTAACCATTCTTAGCAACCCCCAGTTATCAAGCAGTTGCTTCTAATTCTCTAGAGAGTAGCACCAACACCACGGCTGCTCCGTGAATAAGATGACACTTCCGTGACCCCTCTGGAAGGCCACCACCATTGCACAGGGGAAAGACTTAATTACATGGGCACTGAGGTTCTGTGAGGTAGCAACAGCCTGCTTTGCAATGCACTTTCCCTCCTCCGTCCTATTTGTCAAGGTTTATGGTGCTATATAGTCCCCAGGCGTGTAACGGATAAGCTAAGCCACCCTGATCCCCTTGAGAGCAAGCCACAGAGACCTGGCCCAGCTTCTGGGAGCACTGCCCTGAGGCAGACCTCAACTGGGAGCTCAGGGCTGAGGGTTGCTACAGCCTCAGAGAGCTCCCTGCCTCCTCCAGGGCCACACTCCTGCCCTTCAACCACATCCAGCGAATGATGGGCAGCTGTAGGCATACAGGGGTCCAGCCCTGGGAAAGCCTGAAGGGCTTTCTCACCACAACTCTGCAGAGGTGTCAGAAGCCCCTACAGTCAGCATCACCCTACCTCGGTTCTCCCTTCGCTTCTGCAGGGGTTGATCCCTGAGCCGGCCTGGAAAGGAGATTCTATCACAGTTCCCTGTGGTCTGTGTCTGGTCCAGGAAATGTGCTCAGGGTGAAGACCAAGGCCTGCATGTATTTTGCAGGTGTGTTGCTAGCTGGACGGAAGTGGGACATAAAGCAGGAGAAATAAATCTGGAGGCCTCGCTCTGGGTACCTGAGTGACTCACCCACTTACTCAGAGGCAGGACAATTAAAATCCGTTCACACGCAATCGTTCTCTCTTCTTCCTCTGCCCGCCTTCCTTCCATCGGCATTCCTTCCCTCTTCCAACCTCATGGGCAGGATCTGAGAAGCCCCTACAAGACCCAGGGGCCTACCCTTGGTCTCCAAGTGGCCAGCAGTCCTACTCTCCTCTCTGTGCACACACTCCTCCCCCCGGAAGCCACTATGGGATAATTCTTCAGTCACGGCAGGAGCCTCCTACTCAAATACATGCATGCTACTGGGGCAAAAGGGGTCTCAGAGCATTGGCCTATTTTGCTACTGAATCTTGCGTATTCTCAAGGACCCCTTTTTCACCCTGGTTTATTAATACTTCATGGGGTCAGTGCTGTGGCATAGTAGGTTAAGCCTCCACCTGCAGTGCCGGCATCCCATATGGGTGCCAGTTCGAGTCCCGGATGCTCCGCTTCCAATCCAGCTCCTTGCTAATGGCCTAGGAAAGCAGTGGAAGATGGCTTAAGGGCTTGGGCCCCCGCACTCACATTGGAGACCTGGAAGAAGCTCCTGGCTCCCGGTTTTGGAACGGCTCAGCTTCTGCCATTGTGGCCATCTGGGGAGTGAACCAGTGGATGGAAGACCTCTCTGTCTCGCCCTCTCTCTCTGTAACTCTGCCTTTCAAATAAATAAATATTTTTTTAAAGTAGCAGTTCACATGGAGTGAAGCAGACTTGGCTGAGAGCAGATGGCTTTGCAAGTTTCAATGAGACTGGGGCACAGAACGTCAGCCCCAAGGTCCAGCTTTTCTGGGGTGGCTTCTGCTCTTGGGGTGTGTGTTGGTGAGGAAGAAAACACCACCCCAAGAGGAGGGGATGCCCCAGACTGGGGTACCCAGAAAAAACTCCACCTCTTCCCAGTTTTCTCTGCTGTGATTTACCAAAGAAACTGTCCACTGGCAGAGCAAAAGGACACCCTGCCTACCCCGCCTCGGCAACCTTTGGGCGACATTTTTTATGCTTATATGGCCCATATTGTGGTTGATCCTTTCCTTCGGAACACCCTTCCCCTCCCTCCATCTGGGCACCCACTTGTCTGCAGGCTCCTTTTCCAGCCCGACTGGCCTCTGGAGGCCTCTCTTTGCTCTTGTCGTTGGACACATTTCCTGATGAAATGCAATGCTGAACAAGTGTAGAAGCAGCGAGGATGATGCAAACATACAATGTGAGCATGACCAGGAGAGTTTCCCCTCGCTCAGGCCAAACAAGGCAAGAGGAAGCAGTGCATCCCGGGAAGCCGGCCTGCTCAAACCCCCTTTCCCAGCCTGTGGTCAACAGGACCCCCAAATTCCAGAGCCCTCTGTACTTGTCCACACGCTGTGTGCTTTGGTGTCACCCACCCTATCATGTGTTCCCAGTGCCAGTGTGACTTAGCTAACCTGTGAGTCCCTGGAAATAAAGAATGTATATTTTCAGTCTCTACTATAATTTCATGGAGCTTTAGGTAGAAGACTCTCAAGGAGGTAAAACTATGTGGTTATTTTAAGATTTATTTATTTGAAAGGCAGAGTTACACACACACACAGAGAGAGAGAGAGACAGAGACAGACACAGAGAGAGAGAGAGAGAGAGAGATCCTTGATACACTAGTCCATTCCCCAGATGGCTACAATGGCTGGGATTGGACCAGGCCAAAGCCAGGAGCAGGAACTCCATCCACTCCAGTCTCCCCTGTGGGTGCAGGAGCCCAAGCACTTGGGCCATCCTCCGCATCTCTCCCAGGTGCAATAGCAGGGAGTTGGATCAGAAGCTGAGCAGCCAGGACGTGAACTGGTGCTCCATTTATGGCATGCCAGTGTCCTAAGATGTAGCTTAGTTGCTGCACCACAACTTGGGCCCCTAAAACTAACTGGTTTAAATTTTTAAATACCCTGTTGGAAAATTCCTCACACTTTTTTTTAAAAGATTTATTTATTTGGGGCTGGCACTGTGGCACAGTAGGTTAAGCCTCCACCTGTGACACTGACATCCCATATGGGCGCCAGTTCAAGTCTGCGCTGCTCTACTTCTGATCCAGCTTCCTGCTAATGTGTCCTAGGAAAGCAGTGGAAGATGGCCCAAGTGCTTGGGCCCTTGCACTCATGTGAGAGACCTGGAAGAAACTTCTGGCTCCTGGCTTCAGATAGGCCCAGCTCTGGCGGTTGTGGCCATTTGGGGAGTGAACCAGTGGATGGAAGACCTCTCTCTCTGTCTTTCCCTCTCTCTGTCTGCTACTCTGCCTCCCATGGTGCATAAAAGCAGGAAGTTGGAATTGGGAGAAGAGCCAGGATTCAGACCCATGTGCTCAATTATGGGATGTAGGCCTTCCACCCAATATCTTAATCAGTATGACAAAACACCTTTCTATAATCTCTTCTTCTTGTAAGGACTTCAGGCAGAGAGTATTAGGCTAATAACAAACTTAAAGATTTATGTATTTATCTGAAAGGCAGAGTTACAGAGACGGAAAGGCAGAGGCAGAGAGAGAGAGAGAGAGGTGTCTTCCATCCGATGGTTTACTTCCCTTATGGCCACAATGGCCAGGGCTGGGCCAGTCTGAAGCCAGGAGCCAGGAGCTTCTTCCAGGTCTTTCACATGGGTGCAAGGGCCCAGGGACTTGGGCCACCATCTTCCACTGCTTTCCCAGGTGCATAGCAGGGAGCTGGATTGGCAGTGGAACAGCCGAGACTTGAACTGAGGCTCATATGGGATGCCGCTGCTGCAGACCGAGGCTTAACCCTATATGCCACAGAGCCAGCCCCAATTCCTACTAAATGCCTCCAAGTTCATGGGACCAGTCTTCCAGAGTTAGAACAATCAGCTTGCTCGGCTAGGGTGTCTGGGCTCCCTAGGAAGAAACTAGCTGCAGTTGCTGGGGCAAAGGAGGTGCTGCGACCTCACCCCTGTGGGTTTTATGTTTGTTCACTTTACTGTCATGGTTTGGTCACAATCATAAGTACAGTTTTTGCAGGCTCATGACATCTCCCCCTCCCCTCCATGTAATTGATGCCACCAATCCATTCACTCTCGGTGGACAGCCGTAGTTCCCGCATCCAAGCTGTTTCATTGAAAGCATAAACTCCCGTATTGCAGCCTGTTGTTCAAAGGCTAGACACTTAACCTAAGCAGAATGCTTACAGGGGAAATGCATTAAAATCCCCTCCAGCACCAAGTTAAGAATGCTGTTCGTCTATCCCTTAAGGAGATGGAGTCAGAATCCCTACAACCAGGCGGGAGAGTGCAAAGGGGAAGTCACAACTCCGCTCTGCCTGCTCCCTGCAAGCAGCAGGACAAATCTGTCTCTCTGATCTGGCTTCTCCCAGTGCACCTGTCACAACACAGCACCTCGGGCTGGAGCCTCCCTAAGGCCCCAGATGACCACGCCATTCCGAAGTCCCGGGTCAGGGCGTCGGTTCACCGCTTCTGCGGATGAGGGTTTGTTACGTTTCACTTCCAGCCCCAAACCAGGAAGTGCTTTTTAAGATGGGCCCAAGGCAAAAGCAATCCAGCCCCAGAAACAAAACCCGCCCGACTCCAGAAAGGCTGGGGGGAGGGGGGGGAGGCTTGGATCGGAACCCACGGCCTCCTCCCCAAAAACGTCATGCAACTCTCCTAATTGCCAAAGAATGCCGAAGTCACAGACAGGCGCTCGCACCCACAGACCCGCTTGCTGTGTGTTCTGCTTCCTTATCGGGGCGGCCCAGGCCCTGGCCGGCGACATTTGGTAAACCAGGGCAGATTGCAGGAAAGGGGCCGAATCCGCCAGATTCCCCGGCGCGCACGGGCCACGCCCGGGCCGCCGTCCAGTTGCACCAGTGCGCGGCAGCCCCGGCGCGGTGGGGGAACCCTACAGCCCCCTCAGCGCCCTTCTCCAGACCCGCGGGTCCCGGAGGCTCCCAAGCGAGGACCCGGGCTGAGCGTCTAGGGCCGAGAGCCAGGGGACAGCTGCAGCGGGAGCCGCTGCCCGCACCGCGCAGGAAGGGGAGGGCCCTATAGGGAGAGGGGGGCCCGGCGCGGGCGCAGGGCTGGGTCGGAAAAGCTGCCTCACGGCCGCGCCCGCCGCACCCTCGGCCGCGCGCCCTGCCCTCGGCCGCCCGCCCGGACTCTGATACAGTCTCTGCCGCGCCTTCCCGGAGGCAGCGCCGCAGCCTCGCCATGTCCCAGCCGGGCCAGAAGCCCGCTGCTTCCCCGCGGCCCCGGCGCGCCGCGGCCAGGCACACCCAGGAGGTGAGTGACGCTGGCGACCGGGGGAACCCCCTGCCCTGGGGCTCCCGCCTGGGCCCCCGCCGGGCCTGTCCTCCCGGGTGGGCCCGGCTGCGGGCCGGGAAGGGGCTCCGGCGGGCTCGGCGGCCGCCGCAGGGCAGGTGGCCGGAGATGGTTGGGCCTTCGCGGGCAGGGGCCAAGTGCGCTGGGCGTGGCGCAGGCCGGGTGTAGGGGGGTAGGGGCGCATGGAGAAAAGTTGGCTGGAGAGACTGGAGTGACGGGAGGGTGGGCACAGAGCGGGAATGAAGTTTATCGGGGTCCCCAGAGTGGGGTCGCGGCGCTGAGCTCGGGCTCTTGTCTTCGGTGCGCAGTAGGGCCGCAGGGCGCGGCTGCCCGGAGAAACGACACCGGAGGCGGGGCTGAGGCCAGGGGTGAGGCTCTGTGTAGGGGCGGGGACCCCACCGGCCCCGCCCCTAGGTGCCGCCCACCTGGCGCTCTGGGGAGCTGGTGGAGTCCAGCTCCAGCCGCACCCGCGCCAGGCACAGTGTCAGCCGGGCGCCCAGCAGCGCACCCCTCGCCTTCCCGGGCTTCCCCGTCGCGCCGCTCGGACCCTGCCGGTTGCAGCCATGGCGTTCGCGAGCTGGTGGTACCAGACGGTAAGTAGGCGCGCGCGTGCCTGGGCAGGACCGGGGAGGGAGTGTGTGCTCGCTCTGCCTGGAGCCTTCCGTGCTGCGGACGCGGCCGGGGTGGGGACCAGGTGCGGATCTGCGGCCGAGGCTCCCTCCTGCGGGCTGCTGCGCTCTCCTGTGCAGTGGAGCGGGCACTGTTGCTGGTGGAATCCCGGCCCCGGCGGCGGGGTCCTGGGTGAACGCGGCCGCGGGACGCTGGAGCTCGCGCGCAAGGTCTCTTTTTAATCTCTCAGGGACGCTCAGAACTTGGCGAGGATAGGCGGTTCCGTGCGTCTTCTCGAACGCCGAGGGAGGGAGGCCGCCGGATGGGGGCGCGTAGGAAGCCAGGAGCAGTAGGCAGGGCGTGGAGACTGGTGCTGAGAGGGAGGGGACGGGGTCCCGCTCTGCGCCTTGCTGGTCTGCATGGGGGACACACACGCGCCTTTGGTGTCACGTCCTACCAATTAGGCACGATATCGGGTCAAGCCGACACTTGCCATGCTTTGAAAGCAGGAAGCAAGGTGTCCCATTCGATTGCGTTCCCGAAAAGTGTAGAGAGGTGTTACTACGCAGAGAGCGTTCCTATGGATGTCCCTTTGAGTTAAAAGTCAAGAGTCTCTCTGAGCGTCTGGTGTTGGCAGAAGCGGAGGTGTTGTGCTCAGATCCTGCGGAGTGGGGAGCCTGGCGTTGGGATCCGGAGGCGTGATCATCCAGCAGGCATTTACTGGACATCAGCGACGTGCCCGGCGGTGCACCAGTCCCCGGGTACCCGGCGGGCAGCAGGTGGCCGAGAGTCTGCCTCCTGGGACCTGTTTCCATGCTTGTGAAGTCAGAGTGAGGGGCACGCCGTGGGGACTGGGGAGGACTGGCTGGATTTCTACATCTGGATTCTGTGTGCATGGACTTCCAGGGACCCGGAATTCCACTTTGGCTTTTTGGTGAATGCTTCCTATTGCGTTGTCTTGGCTTTTTGAAGGTAGCGTTTTATAGATGTACCCAGAGCAGAAGTTTGCTTTGAGTCATTATTCCAGGGTTCTTATCTAAAGGCCCCACTGAGGCGTCTGCAAACACAGATGGCACTGGATCAGAGTTGAGAGTAGACCTCCCCTTCCAAACCCAGATCCTCTATACTGTTTGTGAGCAAACTTCAACTTTCCTAGGGCCAGCGCTGTGCCACAGCGGGTTAAAGCCCCAGCCTGGAGTACCAGCATCCCATATGGGCGTTGTTTGGGTCCCAGCTACTCCTCTTCTGATCCCGCTCTCTGCTCTATGGCCTGGGAAAGCAGTAGAATGGCCCAAGTGCTTGGGCCTCTACACCCACGTGGGATACCCAGGAGAAGTTCCTGGCTTCAGATCAGCTCAGCTCTGGCCATTGCAGTCATTTGGGGAGTGAACCAGCAGATGGAAAACCTTTCTCTCTCTGGCTTTACCTGTCTCTGTAATTCTGTCTTTCAAATAAATAAAATAATTCTTTTAAAAAAGCGCTAACATTCCCAAACCAGTGCTTTCCAAGAGACAAGCGCCATATACATGGGAACTTTAAATAGTGGAGAAGTGGGATTAAAACCTAGGTTTATTTTGTTGCATAAAAATTTGAAAGCCAGTGCATAGTTTCTTTTTAATACACATTTTCCATGAACTTTTTGAAGACCATCTGTATGCATAGATTTCAAAATTTTTTGTACCAAAATATTTTAAAGTATTTATTTAAACGTCATTGAAAAGCAGAGAGACAGGGACAGATAGAGATCTCCCATCTCCTGGTTTGCTCCCCAAATTCCTTCGACAGCCAGCACTGGACTAGGCCAAAGCCAGCAGTTAGGAACTGAATTTGGGTCTCCCAGTGGGGTGGCAGGGACCTAAGTACTTGAGCCATCACTGCTGCCTCCCAAGGTGCACACTAAAAGGAATCTGGAATTGGGAGCAGAGCCGGGACTCAAACCCACGCACTCTGATGTCAGATGCACACATCCCAATTGGCTAAATGAATATGATATGTTATACATAATAATATAATAAAGATAATCCTAAACTTACCTTTAATTTTATTTTCCAGAAACATTTTGAAGTGTACTTGTATATGATGTAAGATGTCTAGTAGGCACTTTAACAAAAGCAAAAAGAAGCAGGTGAAATGAATGCCTATAATGTATTTTATTGTGTTATATTAATAGATACTGGGCCCTAGATATTATTTCAGCATCTATGTAAAACATTGAAATATTGTCCATGCACATTTTTCACTAATTCTTCACAATCCAGTATATATGTTACACTTCCCATACATCCTAATTCATACTTTCCACATGTCAGGTGTTCAGAAATCACAGTTGACAAGTGGATATGCTATTAGACAATATAACTCTGGACCATGGGTTCCTAACCTTAAAAAAAAAAAGTGACTTTATAATCATAGACCATGCCAAGAATCGAATAGAAGTTATGGATTATTTTCCCATAAAACACATACACACATGTACACAAATGCAGTTTCTCATATAGCTTCATAAAATCAGAGATTTCACTGAAGCCCACCCACAAATCCCCCAAAGTCTCCATGTATTATATGTATATATAGGTATACATCTATGTACATATGAAATATAACATACGTGTTACATACCTTCTATAAATACATGCATGTATGTGTGTGTAATGCGTGCATGGAGATTTGTGCAGTGGCATGTGCATATATGTGTGTCTACAGAGCAGTATCCCTTGGGCCCTTCATATCCACGGTGTCCATATCCACAGAGTCAACCAAGTACACATGAGAAATGCTTGAAAAACCACATCTGAACACACACGGCCTTTTATCCTGGTCATTGTTGTCTAAGCAGTAGGGTGCAACCAGTGTTTACACAGCATTTCCCTTGTATTAGGGCTGGTAAGTCATCCAGAGAGTATTTAAAGTATATGGGATAAGATGTGAGTAGGCCATATGCAAATACACACCCTCTTACAATAGGTCCCTCAGCCTCTGCAGATTCTGATCCCCGCAGGGATTCTGGAACCAATCCCAGATGGATACCAGGGAATGTAACCACCTGGCCTGTCTTGGAACACTTCTGGTAAATCCTGCGATTAAGGGATCCTTAACAGGGTGCTTTGAATACTGCAAAAGGTTGCAGATGCCCTACCTTATAAAATGTAGGCAGACTACAATAAAACAATTAAGAGATGCCCCTGGGACGAGTTTCTTTCAGAGCATGCCACCTACAAAGCCAGTCAATGAAGCATTGCACTGTATGTCTCCACATTGACTGTCCTATCTTCTAACTAAGTGTGGGTTTTCAGTAGAAAGAGCCATCCAACTTCTAAAAAGTTAGACTTGAAGACTATCTGGAGTCTCCTCATAATCAAGTCATGAAGAAGGATGTGTCCGGCTCCCACCAGGGATCACAGTCCTGAGTCTCAGGCTGGTCCTCTTAGGCTGTGTTCATTAGAGCTGGAGGTGTTTCTTAGCCTAATTAGATGCATGGCCCGGTGACAGTGGGGTGTAGGAGCCCAGACATTGGGCAGGCTCCATCATTGCAGCCAGTCTGGGAGGGGTGGTGCAAGCCTTCCATGGTCGAGCACTCCCTGGGCTGCTATGAATTTTTAGAAGCAAGAAAGGCTAAATTACAGGGTCTGCAAAGAAAAAAAAAAAAAAAAGAAAAAGAAAAAAAAAGCACACAGACTTTACAGTGGTGGAAACACAGAGGTCATATACTGCTTTCCTCTTTGGGCTTCCGTTGTCGGAATTTGCTTGCTTTCCATTACGTACAAGCCGTGACACTAAGAGTAGCATCCGATGCTGTTATTCTTTAATCAGTTTTGACATTTCCCAGAAAGTTAATTATATTCTCCAAGTGCTTTTTAAGGAATGATTGAAGCTCTCTGGGGCTGTAGAGAGTGAGCGGTCATTTGAGATTCCAAGGTGAGTTAGTTATGAATAGATTGTCTCAACAGATACAAGACTGCTCTAGGTAGACCATCTTTTTTATTTTTATTTTTTTAAAGACAGAGTGACAGACAAGAAAAGAGAGAGAGGGAGAGAGGAAGATATCTTCCATAATTCACTCCTGAAATGCCTGCAACAGCCTGGGCTGGCCAGACTGAAGCCAGGAGCTTCACCCTGGTCTCCCACATAGGTGGTAGGGGCCCGAGGACTTGGGCCATTTTCTGCTGCTTTCCTAGGTGCATTAGTAGGAAACTGGATCTGAGGTGGAGCACCTGGGACTTCAGATAGTGCTCCAGTGTGAGATGTCAGTGTTGCAAGCACTGGCTTCACCAGCTGTGCCACAACACCAGCCCTGACACAGACCATCTTTAATACCCTCTTCCAGCTACTTTTAAGGTGGAAAAATCAAAGGG